CGACGAGTACCCCTCGGCGCGTAACGATCGCTAGTTACCACAGGGTAGCTACGCGCATCGATGAGCATTGCCGAACCCGCTGGAACGAAGAAATGTCATCGCGGTTTGACACGGAATATCAGGCGAAAGAAACGAAATGTAAACATTGACAATAAAAAGTTCGTCAAGTGCAAGTCATGTTTTATGCAGGCAGTTAATTTAATTAAAACTAGTTTATATTTAAAAGGTAAAAAAATAGTAAATAAGTGTTCAGTTCGATAAACTGTAAGTAAATAATAAAGTAAATGATGAAGTTAATATTAATTACAATGATAAAGTTGTTCCATATAGCAGAACACCTAACCTAACAATTGTAGTCACTAAAGGAAGTTAGTCGGAAGCAATACTGAAAAATTGTAGGTAATTGATATTGTAAAAGTGATAATATTACTAAAAATAAAATATAAATTACAGCTAAAGCTGTTCCCATCAAACTTCAAGTTTTACGGGACGCTAAAAGAAATCAGTTCCAACAATTCGTTCCAGCAGAAAATGGCCGCCTACCACCACATAATTCATCGGATGCAGATTCTTTCACTCAGCGATACAGGAAAGGTTAAGGAATTACAGTACATCTTCGAAACAGCAAGACTCAACGGATACAAGGAGACCACAATCCAGGCAATCATCCTTAAAAAACCAAAAATTCTACAAAGGAGATTATTTACAACCCTCGCCGCAGCACCTGAACCCTTGAAACGAGTGTCCGTTCCATTTGATCAAGATATTACTTGTAAGCTAAGACAACAGTTAAAACAATTAGGATTAGATTTAGTGTTCACCAGGAGACATAACCAGTTGAAATCATTGTTAGGATCCACTAAAGACCCAGTTAATGTTTTAGGTAAAGCAGGTGTATATAAAATAAGCTGTAATCATTGTAACAAAGTATACGTAGGACAAACCAAGAGAACTTTAGCAACTAGATTTACAGAACATATAGCGGAGGTTAATAAGACCAAAAAGCAAGAGGAAAAAGGCCTAACATATGATTTGTTGCAGAACACATCTTCACTATCGACGGAGGACATCACGATTTTACAAACCGTATCTACAACATGGAAAGTGGATGTTGCAGAGAGCCTCGAGATCAACAAACAACGGAATTCAACTTTACTCAACAGGGATCAAGGAAACGGACACACATGGCCTTTCAAGTTACTACCTAGGACACATCAACGAGTAAGCAACGGAGTATCTGCTCCTCCTACAGGAAATTAAATTTAAGTTTACCTATAGGTATAGCTATAGCTTCTAAGTGAAAATGTACCTGTGTTAATATATATTTCGGTAAAATGCGATGTTTTTCTTCAGTCAAGTATTAGAGTATTAGTACAAGACGCTGAAGAAGTTTGCATATTGTAGACGAAATACGCGTATCTGTCAAGGATAAGCTCATACGGTAGTGGAATTAAATGGAAATTACTAATCCACTAAGACGGCCACATTCATCAGGAGAAAAATTTAATAAAACATGGTTGATTTCAGCAATAGATGTCGCTGGAAAAAAGATACGTAATATTTTTTTGAAAAAGCGGAAACACTTTAATTGAAAAAAAAATAGAATGTGGAGGAAATGGTTTATCGATTTTGCCGAAACGTGTTTCGAACGGCTCCGATGCTTACACCTTCCAATTTCGCTAATTGACTTAGATAAATGTTGGAGATAGTACACCATTTGTGCACGATCTGATTGTACCAATCCTACCGACAATAGGGAGGCAGCTCCGACACCTGGACCATACCTATGGACCCCATGAACTCATGGCCCGGGGACCAATGGCTTTACTTCTCTTGCCTCAGAAAATCCCGACGGCGACGACTGGGATTGAATCCAGGTTCTTTGGAGTGAGAGGCAGTCACGCTAACCTATCTGAGTTCTCTTGGAATTCTCCTTAAAATTTTCCTGCTATTCTCCTAACGATTCCCAATCAATTCTACTCAGAATCACCTACAAATAAAATTCTGTACTTTCTTTCTTCTACACAGAAATTCCATGGAATTCATCTCAGAATTTCTTAGGACAGTATTTTAAAATTATTTTGGAATATTGGTCAAACCTACCTTATAATTTGTTGAACATTTGTTCAGAAATCCGCTTCTGAATATTTTTGGAATAAACACTTAAATTCCATTTAAATTTTTCCCAAAATTCCACAGGATGCCAGAATTGTAATTTATCAGCACACACCCTGGTCGACCACTGTAAACCAATCTGCCGTTAAGCGAGTGTGTACCTACTGAAACCTGGCCGTAGGCCTATGCTAGACCGTATAGCATAACGACCTTCTTCCACTAGCAGGCCTGTTTCTGTTTGCACAGACAGTCCCACTAGTTTCCGATACATTTATAGGGGATAGTAGGAGATTAAAAGAATTGAGAAGAGTTATAGAGGTTTTGTTGTTGTTGTTTTGCTGAAAAGAGAGAAACAGAACTAAACGAAATTACACCTGCTGAAAAAGATAAGTCTATTATTTTGGTTAGTGATCTTTTGGATTTGGGTCACCCCACGTTGTGTTTAGGTTAGTATAAATAAATAATACTATATAGTAATATAAATCACCACAGCTCATTATCTTCAGCGTTATCGGCGTTTCTGGATCTTTAGTTGCCTCTGTGATATACTTACTTGCGGCATACTATTTTGGGAGTGTATATGAGCGTGTACCATGTACGGTAGCTCATCTCTCATCGTGATGGTGGGACATAGTAGACAAATTAGAGAGAAAACAAGGAGGTATTAGTATTAGTTATATGTAAACAAACAAAACAAAAGAAGAGAAGAGGAAAGAAGAGCAGAAAAATAAAAAGGAATAAAGTAGATAACAAAGAAAAGAAACGTAGGCAGATTATTAGAAAAGGCATTATCCGAGACTCGGCAATCAAATGTCACTCCCGCCGAGATCTCAGCGAAACCCCCTCCCCGCCGAGCTCGGTAGAAAAAACTAAGTGTGTAGATAGATTAGTAGGAAAATAAATAAAACTACTTTATGACTCAAAGTGCAATGAATGAGCGTTAGTTTCGGGATCATTTCAGTGTAAGAGTTATGTTAGTTTTGATCCGTAATCAGCCCTGCCGACCCCTCAACATTAGTTGCAGGCAGTGGTTGTTAGATAATGCGGCACTGTAATTACAACTATTTTAGAGGTATGATTCGTCAAGTTTATACAACTCAATGTTTCAATTGAGGCAAACTATCTATCTAACAATTACAAAAGTAAACCTAAACTTACAATTATATGCAAATGCAAAATGAAACTTGACAAATCATCGTCAATCCCCTTATTACAGGGCAGGGCCTGACGATTTGAATATAATTTTGATCAGTGAACGGGCACCATATGGTACATTTTCTCACCATGAACCTATCATTTCCAGCCTATCTGAACTATTTAATAAATGGAAGCCATAACATGGGTTACGCTCCCCCTAAGCAGGCCCTCCGCATCCTGTCTCTGTCTTATCTCAAATACAAAATGCCAATGGTATGAATGTATCTATATATAACTTGGAAATGACGTACAATCAAATAAACCCGTAGCCCACTCACTTGGTCAGGCTTCAGAATCGTCCAATGGGCAGTACGCTCTACACGCCAAGTTACCTTTTTTCAAATTTACCGCAATTTTGATATTTTACCCATTGAGTGTTGATTAGTCACAATGAAACATTGTGACAGAAGTTGAGGTTACTAGTGTATTAAATAATCTAGGTCCTATTTAGGATAATATCTGAAAAATCCAAATCTGGCCAACGCCCACCCTAAACCTAAACCTGTTCTAATCCACCTGAAATGACTAACGAATGGAAGACTTTGACTACCCAGCCATGCAATAGTCTCATTCCGTGCCTTATGGCAACTTGATGATTCTATTGCGCTCATCTTTTGGCACCACCCAGAGGAGACTTGGTCCTGTACCCAATGCTTAACTTATCTCCATTCCACTCAGCTACTCGCAATTTCTTGTGATATAGTGGGCGGAATATTATTATATGAGACAATTCAATGCAGACGTCTTTCCAAATTTGGCAGATCGACAGGTAATCGGTGAGTTACCACGATAGTTGCTATTCAACAACTCGACAACGTCCCATCGTCAACGCCTGCTATGAGAATTTCCCATTGCAGACGCCAACGAAATGACGTCATCGAGCTATCGATCGACTACCCTGGTTATCGCCTGGTACCTTATAGCACGATGCTAGGAGGCGAACCGGAAGAATCGATGAGCTACCTCCCCCAAAATTCCACAGGATGCCAGAATTCTATAAAAATAATATTGAAAGTTTTAAAATTCTGAATATGTTTTAAAGTCATAAAGCTTTGTATTTTTTCAGGGCAGAATATTTGTTTATAAGTTACAAATTTCTGAAAAATGTCCAATGAAGTGTGAGGCCCATCAAATAGGTCCAAGCTCTCTTTAGACTCTTAACAAAATTTGTCAATTTGTTAATGTCAGAGCCTAAAAATCATGCTTTTTTAATTAACAAAATGTTTAAGATTTCTCAGACTACAGAATGTTAACATATTTTCTTGTTTCGAGGTCTCGAAGTTTTTTTTCCTTGATTTCATTTGTACTCAAATCCAAGATTTCTAAAACAATTTCTAAATCATGCCTTTCACTGTTACCAGGCAAATAATCCATTCAGTCCGATAGTGTTCTGCCCAGTGACCTTAAAATTGTGTCTGTTTCTCAGTAAATTCTGGGGCTTTGAAAACATGTGGTCCATTATTTTTAAATATATCAAGGGACTTATTTAGTTGAATATACTTCTTTCAACTTAGAAATAATGCTTCCTGTAATTTTACTGCTAAAGATTTACCCCATTGAACACTTTCGTTTTTAACTGATTTGTACCGGGAAAACCTGAAATTGTAATATGAAAATTCACTGGACACATTTTCAAATTATTTAAGTTGTCACACCCCAAACCTACTGAAGGGACTCTTCTCTTGCAAATGCCAACAACGGAAATCAATCTACGGCAAACATTTATCCAACATAATATAACTTCTTTGGTATTGCCCCGCTCCAGAGCGAATGCTTAATCATCCTCGATTTCGTTTATTTCGTCCCTCAACTCAACGGCTACGCCTTGAGTTTTGATTCGATTGAAAACTGCTGCCATTTCTTCCAGAACCAGCGGATTGGCAGGCACCTTCGGTCGAATCACTTTGGTTAGACCTCGACCTTCGTGTTCCTTCAGAATATGCGTATTGAGCCGGGCTTCCTTCAGATAGGACGCCCCGCAGTGACACCGGAATCTGCGGTGGGTCGTCTTTTGGCTGCTACAAAACAGATCCAACGAAGCCTGCGGGATGTTCACCACTTCGCCATCGGACCCTCTCGTCCGTAGGCCCCGTCGCCGTTTCCGTTCATGGCGCTCGTCATCCGAAGATTCATTGAAATCCGCCGCTCCGGCTATCTGATTCAGTGTGACCTCTTCCCCTTCAATCGAACCTGATTCGAAAATGTTCGCTTCTGTGACCAGTTCTAGATCGCATTCTTCTTTGACCATCCCCTCATCGGGTAAAATTGCATTTCCTTCCTCGCCACCAATCGGTTCTTCTGTAGGTAAAGCTTTTTCGTTGGATAGTTCGCCAACCAAAGCCTTCAGAAATTGATCGTTTTTATGGAACCACTCACGACTACGGTGGATGTACGTTACCCTCTCGATGCAGGTTTGGCATATCATTTGCGGGTAACCGTCGTTTGGTTCAATCTAAAACAAGGCGCAAAATTGAATTTTCTCCTACAAAACGGACCTTATTCAAGTATTACCCCTATCCCAATCGATTGCACGATGTACTCGGCAATGTCTTGTTTGGTGAAAATAGATTCGTGAGTTCCCTGTTCGTCTGCCTCCAGACACAGCCGGCAGGCTTTGCCCAAATCGTCCACCATCAGTACCGGTGGATTGAATCCTTCACCCACGAAGCCTCTTTGGAAAGTATAGGGTTTCGTTTCCTCTGCAGAAGTTGTCTCCTTCGGTTGGGTTTCCCGTTTAATCTTTGGCAAATTACGATCCGGAACGGCGCCGACTTTCAATCGGTTTTTGCAATCTAAACATGGAATCAGTCAAAAGGCGTTCCGAATATGATCATAGAACCCACCTGCGACAAGATCGTACTGTTCCGGAGAGAAATGCCTCTGGCATATGTACAAATCGCACAGTTCACAATCCGCTCCAATCTGAAGCCTTTCGCACCATTCTGCGAGTCGTCGTGGGTCGTCAATGGGAAAGTGAAAGGACACTGCATTACACTTATCGGTGTCTTCGGGGTGAGGCACAGCCCCAGGACAACCGTACACGCAGCACACGTTGGCCATTGGCGCCAGTTGAATTGAACTGGTTAATTTTTGATTACCAGCTTGGGAGTTTTCCAAAAAAAAACTCTTGTACTCTGTGTTTTGTTTACATCGATCGGTGGAAAAAGTGTATCCGTAAATCGCTCAGGAGCTGTCAAAATCAGATGTTCCCCAAGTACACTGAACCAAGACCTCATCATGGCATTGAATGGTTTTTGCCTCACTCAAGCCCTATAACTCTTATCAGATGATTTTGAAATGATCGGTATTGATCAGTTCACGAAAATTTGCCGCACTCTTCTCTCACCCGTAAGTTTTGACAGTTTTGGGTGGTTTGTTTTGGCTCCCATTCGTTGCTATCTCTTTTACTCAGAAGCAAAATGATAGGGAGCAAAAAGTGAGGTTAGGGACCGTGCACTGATCTATTCGATTTATCACCTGTTGGAATATGAATAAATCAAATGACAATCATCCATATAGGGTAGAGCGCTACTTCGTCGTAATCGCCCATTTCCGTTCTATCGATCAGAAAAGATTAATAATATCAATGATTTCACCGTGCACAAATCAATAATACAGTGCTAACATTTGAAAACGGCGCAAAAGCCATTTGTAAACAAATGGTTTGTGGGCCCTTTACTCGCTACCCGAAGAACGCCCACGCAAACCAACAGCATCGTCAGGAAGGGGAAAATTTCCCCTACCCGATGTTGCTGTTGTGTCGCGTGGGTGTACTTCAAGTAGTGAGTAAAGGGCCCACAAACCATTTGTTTACAAATGGCTTTTGTGCCGTTTTCAAATGTTAGCACTGAATAGGTTTGTTCCGATGCGTTAGTTCATTAGCTACACGGATAGAAATCCCCTTATACCTTTTGGCAAATTTCCATTGCTGATTATTCATAAATTGTATAAGTCAACTAATAAGCAGACGCCTTGCAAAAAGTTAATAAAGATCATGTGTCAAATGAAATGTATAAGCGGTCACACATACCTTTTATGCATTCTAATAGGACCTATGTGGTTTGTCTTATGGAATGTATAAGACTGATGCTTTGGCAAAAATGTATAAGTGAAACACATGAATTAAATAATTGATTTTCGTTTCGTGTACAACATAAATCCTGTTAGAGCGCATTGTATGAATATTTACGCTCATTGTTCTCAAAACAAAAGAAGCGCTCCTAGCGTATCCCCTTTTTCTACGTGTATCCGTAGGGTGAAGAAAATCTAATGACGTTTCAATGCGTTAGGACGGAATTAAAACTCGTAGAACGAATTTAGAATCAAGAAGCAGTATTAGATTTTAAACAATATCTCAATAATTTGTGACTCTTTATCAAATCCAACGGTGCGTATGGAAAGGGGAATAAATTTAGAAGTCAGAACAGAAGTCTGACAGAAATATTCCATTTTTTGTTTCAACTCGTTCAGAAAAGAGAGGTATAACGCGGGTTGTGCTTAGTAGGACGGAAATTAGATCAAAAACCCTAATGAATTATTTTAGATCGATTTGCGAAAACCAAAGTAATTATAAATCAAACATAAAATCAAAGGATAATCGTAATATTTTCAACTAATAAAAAATATAAAAAAGGAAAATTAAATTTTGGATGAAAATCAGATGTAAAACATCAAGTCATATCCTACAAAATATTCATGATTATATTATTTACAAGCTGTGATAACTGAGCTGGGTCCTTGAGAGACGAATGATGATGGCTAGGTAGAGTCAATCGAGGGGCAAAGATGTTGTTATTCAGCAGATTGATATTGGCTTCGTAGACCTCCCAGGAGTTGTCAACGATGTCATTACAGGAGCGATTGCTCGGGCTCTTGGGAAAAGTATCCGTAGTTGCTCTGGGGCCTGGGAAAGAATGCGAAAACTTCAATAGTCTCATCTTACATGTGTATGTGAAAGGAAACTTATCTTCTGGCCAGAGGTTGAAACAGTTGACGTTTTTTACTACACTCGCTTCGTTGTCGTGCGCGACAGTCTGTTTGTATTCGTACACTCATGCTCTACCGTCGTCTCTTTCACAAAACACAAACGGTAGAATAACATTCGAGCAAAAAGAAAATTATCAAATAACTATCATATGACAAGAGTGATTTCGTTCTAATTTCTCAATTTTGTGTAAATTAAACTATTTCTGATCAGAAATGTTATTACTAGGACATCATTGCTTGCTATTTTCAGAATTCACACAAGATCAACATCAGCAGCTCTTATTATGTGAAAAACTAAAATACACACATTCGTGACGGTCTTCGGCGGCAGTATCGTATGACAGAGCCTGTCATATGACATTTTAGTTTGGTACTGTACTATGATAGCTTGTTTTGCAAATGTCGGAGGCAAAGGCAGTCGATTATCATAGAAAATGTGTCGACTACCGTGACCGCTTACAAGACTGCTTCTGGCCTTGTTTGTTCCAGTAGCGTTGACCGCTCCGAATGCTGTCATTATTGAACATTAAATACATGTGGGTTAGCAAAATGATATTCGTATACTTACATCTAGCATTTCAATTCTCATAAGACCTTTGAAAACATATAACAACTTTGCACTCAAGTTTTCACATAACGAATGTTGTCATTTTTATTCGGTTATAAAATCTTTTATCATTGAAATCAAATGATTTTAGTTTTGGGACTATCTCAAAAGATATTTCATTCGTTTCCATACTGAATATTTTTCACTATATCTAACATATGTATTGCTAACGAAATACATACAAAAAACATGTCAATATTCATTTGCCAATCAAAAGAGCATCACACGTATCCGAGTAGAAAATCATCCGACTGATTTTGTCACTTGGTTTTCAGAAACATGGACATTGGATGCAACTGAATAATGTTTCATTCTATAAATGGAGGGTGATTTGGTTCAGTGTACGCGTTACGAGTTTAACGTTACACAAAATTCTCGACCGACAATTGAACAGGGCCTATCTGATTTTGTGAACAAAACATTAGGTCGTATGAATAAAAGCGTTTACTTTACTCTTCCCGTAAGAAAAGCACGGGAAAGTAAGTTAAACTCTTTTTATTCATACGGCCCATTGTAAGCCCTTGCCTCGCAAACCGAAGGCCATCCACGCAAATCAACAGAAAAAAGGCATTCTATTTTAACACTGCCCTATATATTTTTAACAAGTAAATTAAATGCAACACAAAGTTAAGTGAATGAAGTGATTTTTGAATCCAATAATCTTTCAGTTCTTTCAATATTGTTTTCAAACAAATTATTATATTTTTTGATAGGCATGAGCATTTATTTTGATATTATATTTTCTTTACATCTAAGATCTGGATCTAAGATTGGGCCCATCGTTAAAAATCTGCTACTTATCATTTTAATCTAGATGGGTCATTGGGACGAATGGGCTGTCATTTTGATGCTGGACTTTATCCGGGGAAGCCGTCAATAGCAGATTTATAAACGACAAAAAATACGAAAACCATGATTTACTGTCGAAAATAAACGATCCTATAGTATATTTTCTATTAAAGCATGCTTATGTCTGAAATGATTACTACATTAAACTTAAACATACGTTAATGCTTGGTATGCACAGTTTTGGTTACAAGTAGCTCATTAGTTAAAAACTGTTCACTCTGTTTAGTTAAGAATTTTCGCTTTTGGAGAGTAAAAGTTGTTCACCTTATTGTGCTACAAAAGCAAAGTGAAAAATTATGCGTACAAACTGTGCACACCAACAACAGATAATGATACTTGATTAAGCAAACCGGAGGCCCAACTCGTTACTTCCCGTCTTTTTCGACCTTAATCTGGTCAGCGTATCGGAATGGCTTGTCGACTCGTAGTTTCTTTTCCGGAGGATGCTCTTCCAACTCCTCAGGCTGCGAATCGTCCTCGGTATGCAATAAGCCAAAATCCAGCTGCTGATACTCGATCTTCACCTGCTCGTTTTCCGGTTCCATTTCACCGTTGTCCGCGTAAAGTATTTCCGTGTCTATGACTTCCACGAGGTCCGATTCCGTGTCCGTGGGTTCAACTTTGACGGATGTACTCACAACTTCCTCATGTTCACCGGTAGGCATAATTTGACCGCTGTTGATGATCCGAAACTGCTGATAGGTTTCTCCCTCTTGAACGTAGACGACTGAACCATAGGTCCCCTGAAGGATGCCATCGCTTCCGGACGCGACCGGTGGAATATCAACCGGATTCATGCCTAAGCTAGCCACGGCGGTAATCTTTGGATCAGTATCGCTTCGACTATAATAGTTGGGTTCCATAATCGGCGCAACTTGCTTTCTTGGAGGAGGGGCAACTTCATTTTTTTGAGTGACAAATTTTGTTCTCAAAATTGCGTCATTTTTCTGAAACTGATCGCGAATGCGTTTCATGTACTTGATTTTCGTTGTGCATGTTACACACACTATCCGGGGCAGAAGGTCGTCGGGAGTAATCTAAAAATAAAACTGATTCGTAAAAAAATCAGTATTATAAAAAAAAAATGTTACCACAATCCCAAACAGTTCGGCAATGTCATCGGCGGTAGGCACATCCGGGTTGGGCCAAGCTGGAAAAATCATCTGGTAGTCCATTACGGACCGTTCCAGGCACAAACGACAAACAGCATCCAGCGGATCCTTCGGGTCGCGGGTTCTTCGAACTATGTTTTTATCCGGAAGTGCGTTCCGTTTCATTTTTATTCGTTGCCCTGTAAGAGTTGATATAAAGTTGAGCTCAAACCCCTTTTGGGTCGGTACAAATTTGGCCTTACCGGCGGGGTCGCAATGAAACTGATGATCTGAAAAGTGCCGATGGCATGCAAATGCGTTGGGAGTATCGGAGACGAGTAGTCGCTTCTGCCACATCTGCAGACGCATCGTGTCGCGTTTGGACGGAAATGGGTAGCAGCTTACTCTTGCATCCAACGATTTCCTACAGAACGAAGCGGCACAAATTCTACCCATTTTGAATTTGATTTTCATACATAGAATTGGATTTGTTTTTCCTTGTCCTGATAAAGCGTTCATTCACCAGGATTACGTTTGACTATATATTAAAATAATGATTAAGAACGAAACACTGTTTTGTATTATTGATGCTAAATTGTTGTGTCAACAACAACAAATGCAGTCTGATGGGTTGTCTACACGGTAAGAAAAAAGTACCCAAAATTGAGTTCCTTTCACTCATCATATATTTTGCTTTCGCAGTGTTCACTCAAAAATATTACTAATCAAAAATAGATTAAAATTTAATCTTTATTTTATTTAGCTTTGTTTATTCATACACAGAAACAAAATCCATTGGCAGAAATACTATATTGATGGTTTAAATTAAATACTCCCACCAATAGATTTGTGCAGAAACGAAATTCATTTAATTTGACTAATTTTTCTATCAAAACTACTATACCGTTTGAGTCAGCATAGTAGTTTTGACAGAATGGTAGTAAATTTGATTATATTTATAGTTAACTATACTGAAATCATGGTAGATTTAACGGTATTAAGCGTAGTTATACTGAAAATAAGTGTTTTCTGCAAAATAGTATTCCTAACTGTTATCTTTGTTTCAGTGTAGCTTTGATTAAAAAGTAATCTATTCCAGGTTTGTTTTTATGCATGAATATGAATAACATGTCATAGTTCATGATTATGCATAACAATTCGTTTCTCTGTTTAGCTCTTGTCATGAATCGACATAAACCGTCTCAAACAAGTATTTTTATCGGAGCTTCAAGTGGAAAAAAAAAACTTCAGTAAGTGTTTATAAATCAATATTTAAATGCAACACCATTATTTTAGATGCTGATGTTTGAACTGTGGCCTATTCCGTTCGGTGATCGAGTATTCTGAGGTTCTTCCTATAGTCAAAACTTCTGCTCATTTCAACGCCAGATCAACATAAACAACACTCGGTCGTTGGGCTACTTCCGGTTCTGAGTTGATCTATACGGATGGAAAGTGCCTTGGCGAATCAATAAGATGCGGCAATGTGATCGAAAAATTGTACACCATTTAAAACAAGGTGCTTCCATGCGAGAAGAAGGTGTACTGTATCTGGGAGAGATTGGTTCGTCGTACAACAACCTGAACCGGATCGACCATTTCCCGTGTGTCGCAGTATGATGAGGATTCGATTTACGGGGAGTATAATAGCACTAACGACTAACTGGCGAAGAAATCCATTTAAATAATGTGGTTCACTGTAATAGAATTTTCTTGGAAGCTTGTGCCATCATCCACCAGATGGGTTAGTTTTTTTGTTTTGATTTGAACAAAGTTGATTTAGTGTACAATGATTCTTTGACAGTGTGCAAAGAGTGCGTATCATTTTGTCATTTTTTTATGCATTTCAGTTTTGAGTAGAGTGAAAGAGATAGAACCAAAACATTCTAGTACAGTTGGTGAAAATGCTAGTTCAATCTAGTAGTAGCAACAATCAATACGAAACTAACGATTTTAAATTGGCTCACCACTTTAGTAGCCTATTGATCCCAAGCAAACGATTAACGTGCCCTATTCTAGATGAAATTCTATTACTACACTATGTTTGTTTTGATTCGCTATGAAAGTTTGACAGATAACATCAGGGGTGTGTGAATTCATGCAGAACATGCAGGGGTGAGTGAAATAGCTTGGGACTGCTTGGGACCGTTGTTCTGGTACTGAGTGAGCCAAAAATAATAATGATTTTCTTCGGGACCCAGTGGTCTTAGAGTTACCTCTATGGTAGTAGTGTTGCCATGTGGTACAATCCAGTAGTAGTGGTGTTACCATGTGGTACACTGAAAAATTGCAATAGCAGGTTAGTCACCAAAGTTTTCGAGCCGCTCCGTCTGTCACTTCGTTTGTGATAATAGTATGTATATAGTATCATGAGGAACATCTTGAAGGGCGCGAGGGTGAAGGTGTGAGAAGCTGAGCTACCGGAATACGGATAGCTGACTATTCTCGCTCATGGATCCAATTGGATGGTCACGTTTTCTGGCCGTGACTTTGAAAAATCAAATGAAAACCTTCTATGCTTTATATTATCCGAGACATCATCATCTATGTCAGTCATCACTGCCACTAACAGCCTCAACCATAACTTCTTCATAATGTTGTTAATTTTGAAGAATAAAAATAAAAACGTATTGCGCGTATCCCTGTATACACTGAAACAAAGATAATAGTTAGGAATACTATTTTGCAGAAAACACTTATTTTCAGTATAACTACGCTTAATACCGTTAAATCTACCATGATTTCAGTATAGTTGACTATAAATATAATTAAATTTACTACCATTCTGTCAAGACTACTATGCTGACTCAAACGGTATAGTCATAGAGGTAACTCTAAGACCACTGGGTCCCGAAGAAAATCATTATTATTTTTGGCTCACTCAGTACCAGAACAACGGTCCCAAGCAGTCCCAAGCTATTTCACTCACCCCTGCATGTTCTGCATGAATCCACACACCCCTGATGTTATCTGTCAAATTTTCATAGCGAATCAAAACAAACATAGTGTAGTAATAGAATTTCAACTAGAATAGGGTACGTTAATCGTTTGCTTGGGACCAATAGGCTACTAAAGTGGTGAGCCAATTTAAAATCGTTAGTTTCGTATTGATTGTTGGTATAGTAGTTTCGATAGAAAAATTAGTCAAATTAAATGAATTTCGTTTCTGCACAAATTTATTGGTGGGAGTATTTAATTTAAACCATCAATATAGTATTTTTGCCAATGGATTTTGTTTCTGTGTATACCTCAAAGCACAGATCAGGGTTGATGCATATATTATGTCACGCTCTAAGGGAGAAGGGGGGTCTAAGATTTTGTGACAAGCAATGCATTAGGTATAGGAAAAACGTCCCGATAGGGGGGGGGGGGGGGGGTAATTTTTTGCTCGATTTAGCGTGGCATAATTAATGCATGGGCCCTCAGTTGGAAATTTCTCCCGAATGATGCGCACTTGATCCAGCTTGTTGTCGGGTTCCTCTAGTGGCAAGTCATACACACGCACATATTGGATGAATTCACCAGCATGCGACATGCGTACCTTTGCCGTCATTCCATTCGCATAATGGAAGATTAAATCTTCCGAATTGAATGTCAGAGCAAGGAGCATCGCTTCCTCTGATTTGAACTTCAAGAAGACTCCCCTTTCCTCACCAATGCGATAAACGGCTTCCATTTCAGCCGGATCCGCATCGAGTGCTTTGGCGAAATTTACTATCTCTCCAATGTTTGGTTTAGCATCACAATGGCTGAAGCTAAACTTGATGGTGTTTTTTACTACACACATCTTGCACCGTATAGCAACAAAAGACACCGAACTGCTAGCAACGAACAAAGAGCAACTATATAATAGCGAGTCTCGAAAACAGGCTATCGCGTGGTTCACACCGAAATAAAAAATCGACTGCAGCTGTAGACAGCTGTGTGACAACTGCAGTTAATTATTATAATATGACCGATTTTCATTTATCATATGACGATCATATAAAAGTTACCAAATTATCAGCATTGTAAATGTATCAGATATTCATATAGAATTTACCTGACACATTTTCAATCATATCATTTTCAATGGATTATCTTATAGCGCAAATTTATTAGACTTCCACATAACAGGAATATGTCAAATTGGTTCAGTGTATGCTGTCAGTAGTGGTGAGATCAAAACAGACAGCATACAGTAATCTTTTAATCATTCATTTGAGTCATTAGTGTTGTTTTCGCTCAGTGCTGTCAGTTGTTCTCCTGTTAAAATCGCCTACCTACAGAATCCAGCTCCAAACCGTAAACACTGCCGCCGACGAGTGCCGCCTGATTCAAGATTCCTCCTCGATAAACTTTCGAATAAAATAGCGTAAAATACAACCATCAGTAACGAAAACACCGTAAACAGTAGCTGAATCCTTGCAGCATCAAGTCCTAGTAAAAGTTTGTGGAAAAAAAAGTATTAACGGCACGGAAAGAGGGAGCTAAACATCGCCTTTCAGTACCTTCCGCGTTTGAGGTTAGATTCACCATGGATTTCAGCGCCCTACTCCAGCAGGCCCAGAAGCTGACCCACGAAACGCAGGTTTCCGATGACCTCCCGCGTGTGGAACGCACCTTGCCGCAGGTGCTGCAGGCAACACAGGAGCTGCACTCCCGTGTATCTCAAACCGGAACGCAGGACATGCAAGCGTAAGTTCTTTCTATAACCACCGGATTTTTCACGATCATTCAAATAATTCGTCCTTCATCTTCACCAGGCACATCCTTCTGGGGCACAAAGGGATCGATCTGCCGAAAATTTCGCAAAAGTTGGAAACGTTGAGCTCGAGGAAGACTTTCGAGCCGTTGGATCCGATAGCCACGACCGATATCCAGAGCTTCCTGCGAAACGAGAAGGAAAATGCCATTCTTTCTGTGATTGAGGAAGTGCACAAGAACTCGTACCAGTCAGCGCAGAACCAGAAGTGGGAGCACACGATGAACGATTGGAAGCTGGAGAAGGTAAAGTTGATGAATGCGTTGATTGGACCGTCGCAGAACTGGATCGACATCCGGAAGGGTCCCGAACAGACGATCCTGAACGAAAGTACCTTTGGGGGACGTTCGTCACTGAACAATCAGGAGATGGCCTACGCCAGAGAGGTCTATGAGTACAACAAGTTGGTCAATGAGGGAGCGATGCGACCATCGTTGGTTCAACGATTTGCCCAAGTAGCGGAGAACTTTAACGATTCAAAGGTGAACGACATCTGGGAGATAATGAAGTACATGACGAATGTGACGCCGAGTCCGAGGACGCAGGATCCGCTGAGGACTCGTTGCACGCAGGCGCAGTTCATTGAGCAAGCGAAGCGATATTTGGAGAATCGATACAAACTGTTCATGCAGACGGTCATTTCGGAACATTTGCGAGACGCCCAGCGAGGAGGAATTCCCAGCGTTCTGAATTTGGTCGGATCGTTCGTGGGGTTGAAATTTGCCAATCAAAATACTTCTACATACATCGGACTGCAGGATGGACATGTGGAAGGCAAGCCCCTATGGCCGATGGTTTACTACTGTTTGAGATGCGGTGATATCGATGCGGCACTGAAATGTATGCAGATGGCGGGGCCGGAACATGACGACTTCATTGCTATATTGGAGGAGAAATGTAGACAGCCTGGGCAGAAGATAAGCCAGAAGCTGGAGCAGCAGATTCGGATGCAGTACAAGAGGCAAATTCGAAATGCGATCGATCCGTACAAGCGCGCCGTGTACTGCATTATCGGCTGTTGTGACATCCAGGAACAACATCCGGAGGTGGCCAAGAGTTCGGACGATTTCCTGTGGCTTCAGCTGTCTTTGATTCGACCGGAAACGAACGAAAATGCGGACCATCTGACCTACTCCACTCTGCAGGCCATGGTCCTGGAGCAGTACGGAGAGAAGCACTTCAATGCCAACGAGCAGCCACATTTGTACTATCAGGTTCTGGCTCTGACCGGTCAGTTCGAGGCGGGAATCGAGTTTCTTGCGCGTTTTGAAAAGTACCGAGCTCATGCCGTGCATATTGCGCTGGCACTGAACGAGCTGCACATGATCGGAGGTCCTCGAAATCTGCAGGAACCGTTGTGTAAGTGTTTGAGTGGTGTTGTTGGTTGAAAGTGAGAGGGTTAATTGGATTTTTTTTTCTTTCCAGTATCGGTAGACATCGAGGATCCGCAGCCCATGCGACGTCTCAACATTGCCCGACTGATAATGCTCTACGTAAAGAAATTTGAAATTACCGATCCGGCTGAAGCTCTGCAGTACTTTTTCTTTTTGCGCAGTCTGCGGGACACCGAAGGGCGGAATCTGTTCCTGGTGTGCGTTTCCGATCTGGCCATCGAGTGTCGGGATTTCGATCTTCTGTTCGGCAAAATGCAACGGGATGGAATCCGTTCGCGCGGGTTGATCGATCAGTTCGAGAGCGGCCACATCGATGCCAAAATGTCCTGTGAAATGATTGCCGAGGAGTTTGTCAAGAAGGGAATGTTCGAAGATGCCATTCAATTGTTCGATCTGGCTGGCAACCACGAGCAAGCTTTGCGGTACACGTCGGTCCTGCTGTCCCAAGTGGTTCACCAACCGAACAAATCTGGTTCCCTGCGGGCACGTCTACAGCAGCTGGCCTTGGAGTTCACTGACCGCTACGCAGGAGCAGAGAAGAACTGCGATCCGCAAACATGGTCCACTTTCAGCCTGCTGAAGGAACTGGTCCTCTTCTTCGACCACTACCACAATCGTAACTATCAACCGGCGTTGGAAGTGCTCGAAAGGACCAAACTGGTCCCGCTGAAGATGTCCGATTTGGAGGCATGTTTACACAATTTCAGACGCCTCGGAGGCGAAGTTTGCAAAGTACTTCCTGATCTACTGCTGGCCACGATGGACATCGCCTACAATAAGTACAAAGTCCTCAAAGGAAGGGACGATATGAACGATTTGAAGATGAAGGTGAGTTGCGTCTATGTCCAAATGCGAATCGAATGTCCTCCGTTAAATAACGAGTTTTAAATTTCAGCAACTAAGCTACCTCCGCGAACAGGCCAAGGCTCTGACTAACATGGCAGCAACCGTTCCATATCGAATGCCAGGTGACACCAACAATCGTCTCGTGCAGACGGAAATTCTCATGCACTAGCAGATTCCTCCTTCAATTTTTGTTTATTGCCAATAAGTCACATCCTTAGTGTAAGTCCAGTATGTCACGCTCCTCTAAGTCTAATTAAAATACCGATTGAGAGAATTACTTTTGCTGCAGACTCGTAACGCTGAAATCCTTGCTCAGATCGTCGTACACTCCCTCCTTGAAGGCCTTGTAGTCCAGCACCATGTCCTTGAAGGCGAGGAAATCCGTCAGAGTGTACAGCAGTTCGAATATTTCCCCATCCAGTTGGGACTTTTTGTTCTCCAACTCGAGCGCAAACAGATCCATGTCGAAGTAGCTCATCTTGTCGTTCAAGCTCTCCACGATGAACGTCTCGATCAGATTGGTGTACTTCTGGTAGATTTCCGTGTAGATGATCTTGTTCTCCTCACCGTGGTCGAAGAGGTGGTAGTAGCAGTCCATAAACTGGTTGACCATCGTCTGCGCTCGGCGGATTGGAGAAAAGTCGTTCAACAAACCTGTGTGTCTGTGATCAACTTAAAGTACTAACCTGGAACTCCTCGCCAATCACAATGTCCTCAATGTGGCCGACCACGGTATCAAAATACTCGGTGGAATTTTGTCGTTTGACTAGATTTTCTTCGAAATCCATCCTCCTCCAGGTTTCCGCAGGGCAAAGCAAATTATTGATAAAATTCTATTTGGTTCAGAGCTCGCAACTCAAGGTTAGGTGCCGGTTGTCATAATAAACCGCGCTTGCAAGCTTGTTGGGTATCTTGGAGACCAAGTGACAAATACAATAAGCTCATATAGGGAACTGCATGACAGTGGTGACCAGTAGCAACAGGTGTCGTGGGAGTTGTTAGCAGTGTTGCCTACATATAGAGCTAAAACCAGTGCAATGCCTCTTTGCCAGTTAACCACTTCAATCGAGCAGTTGAAATGACGTTTACTACCACTTGAACTTTGTAATAAAATATTATTTTGAGATTTTTTCTTCTAGAACCACGAGAAAAGTAGCCAACATTTGTGCGTTTCATAACAAAATAGAAATTAGTTGGTCCAGTTTTGTGAAATAGCTGGTAGAAAGTCACGTCAAAACTGCTTGACAAAGTGGTCAGTTGTCCAGTCCTGAATAATTCAGTGTCAACATTTCAAAGGGGCGTAATTGCATTTGCAAACAATGACTTTAGGCATAGATTTCTCGCAAATAAAAGCTCACCTGTCCAAATTAACAATGCGGCTGGTAGACGAAACATTCCTACCTGTTAGTGTCATTAATTTTCATAAGCTAGTGAGCTTTTATTCGCGAGAAACCGACGGCTAAAAAGCCATTGTTTACAAATGTAATTACACTCCCTTGAAATGTTGGCACTGAATTTATTATATGGAGATTTTCGAAGCTTCCACGCGATATGGCAATGGAAGCGAAACAGCTTATGTTAGTTTAGAGAAAGATGCATTTATTTGTTCGCTACAGGTATAGATTATTATAGATCAAAACTTTATACCAGCCTCTTCATCAGCAACTTAGAAGCCTTTTTTGCGCAAAACTGTTGCTTTATAGGGCAGTAGATTTCCCATTCTAGGGTAAATGTAAACATACAGAAAGTTCATAAAATCTAGTCTGACAGTAAAAAATGGATAAGAAAAAATTGAAAAAACACAATTGTTAACCAAAAAAATGGTAAAAGTAAAAAAAAAACTAGAATTAATTTTAGGTTCCTAAAAAGTCGCTTAATCCTGGCCCAAACACCTTTGATGGGAAGGTTTAGTTTACGAATAGACGGGTTTCCCGTCCTTGTCCCACGATTTCTTCATCTTTTGGAAAGCGAAAAACATGTACAGCGCTGCGGAGAACAGAAACGGATTATTAAGTTATCTAAAATGAAAGCTCAAGGCTACACTCACTACTAGCTTCCCACTCCGCCTTGGACAGCGTTCCAACTTTGGTGAACCGACCTTCCTTCTGGTCCACATACTGCTGTGCATGACTGTACTCCTCTTGGTTCTCCTGTCTCTCGCGATCGTCCCGCGAGTAGCCCGGATAGGTTTCCAGGGCCTGCATCTTCTCGATCAACCCCCGACCGGTGGCGACCGATTCCTCGTAGAACTCATCGAACCGCTGCTTCTCCACCAGCTTCAAGCCGAACTTCAGTGCTAGCTTGACCAACATAGGAAAGTAAACCAAAAATTCCGGACAATCTACGACCCCATCCAGCTGGAAGTTGTACTTGGCTCCAAACAACGGTGGCTTCTCTGTGTCGCAGAGGAACGAAATCTTATACACGTCGTTTCCAAAGCTATCGCTTCCGGCTGCCCGTTGTCGCTTCATAATCTCATTAGCATTCGGGATGGTTCCGATGAAGTAACCTCCCTCCTTCAAACACTCGGCTGCATTCTTCAACATGAACTCTGCCTGTTTGAGCGATTCGAAGCAATAATGGAACGCAAACTGGCAACTAACCAGATGCAGCTCGACGGACGGATCACGGTACTTTTCTCTTAAACGCTGGAGGGTCGCGTCGGCGGCGAAGAACTCCGCCGTGAAGATCTTTCCACCGTGATCACCTTTCTGTGTGACGTTCTTGTACCTCGCCTCACACTGTTCCACACTGACTTCGGCTATGTCGGTGCAAATAAGATGCGTAATATTTCCTTTGCTCCATTTAAGCAAATCTCCTCCCTTTCCGCAGCACATGTCCATCACTCTTAGCGGGGTGCCCAAAGCCGCCTTCTCCTTGATCCTATTCAGATACCTGTTGATCAATATACTTTTGATCCAGTTGTTGAAATTTCTCATGTAGAAAATCCGAGACTTTGATCGCTCCTGCAGTCCGCGTTCCTCCAGCTTGTTGTAGTGGGAAGCAACCACCGTAGCGTGGTTGTCCCTAGGATTCCTCTTCAGTTGGGGCTCATTGCCATCGTTTTCATTGTCATTGTAGGGTCGTTTCACGGCTTTATTGCTAGCCGACACAGTGGCTTCTTCAACTTTGCGATCCGGCTGCTTCCCAGTTACCGTATCGTCATCAGATTCACTGTCCTCGGGCTGTCTTTTAGCCTGCTGCTGCACGAATTCTGGTATTTCCTCGGATTCCGACATGTCTGGTATCAATATGCGTTGTACGAAAAAATTAACTATTTCGTTTAAGCACTAGTAACATTAGAAATACATTAGAAAACAAACTTTACCGAAACACAACCTCCTACCTGCACGGTTAGAAAAAAGTACCCAAAAGTAAGTTCTTTTCACTCATCTCGGCACTATAGTGCAGGAACCCAAAAATAGGTAAAGCGGGTCAAAGTAGTTTTCATTTACTTGTGTGCAATTCGTATGGAATTTTCCACTAGCTTTCAACGCAAAAGTAAGTTAGTTGTACCCAACAGTAGGTAAATATTATTATACTCAACGTTGGGTTCCCACACGTTACTACCCCTGTTGGGTGGTTTTGCTCCTCCGTTTTTGACAACATTAGAAGGAGAAAAGGAGACAAACTAGTCAAAAGTAGGTAAAAGTGAACTGGCCGTTGGGTACTTTTTTCTTGCCGTGTGGATCTGATTCTGGTCCACTGCGGCAACTAAATAAAATAATGACTATGAATGTGAATCTGATCTAAACTTTTGACAGGAAAAATGCGTGTAAAACAAAATGTCAAAACACGGTCATTCACTCTAACTTGAAAGTACCCATAATGATTACACGGCCAATAACAGTAACTCAGTGAAGATGTTTTTTGTACTCAGTTGTTACATTTTTTGACGTAGGACTACCCGCATAAACGCGAACCATAAATTGACCTTACCTAAAATGGTTAAAAATTGTTTATAATCCCTGCTAAACTTTAACTGAAATGGTTATGGAACTTTACACGAACGTTTAATGATAAAGTTTCAACCTTATGTATTATGGTTTTTTGGAACTGGACCTTACAAATAATGGGTTGTTAAGAACCATTACCGTTCCAAATTCTTGTTTTCTCCATACATTTTCGGAAAGAGAACTATATTAGAACCTTTTAACTTATGGTTTGAGAACTTTAATGGTAATGGTTATGGTAGTCAGTAAGGTCCACGAATGGTTTTGTAACATCTATCAACTTTATGTGGAATATATCGCGAATTGGTTGCCTGTAATTTACTGATTACCAATTCACGATATATTCCACGTAAAGTTGAGCGATAATACAAAACCATTAATGGACCTTACTGACTACCATAACCATTACCATTAATGTTTTCAAATCATAAGTAAAAACGTTCTTATATAGTTCTCTTTCTGAAAATGTATGGAGAAAACAAGAATTTGGAATGGTAATGGTTCTTAACAACCCATTATTTGTAAGGTCCAGTTCCAAAAAACCATAATACATAAGGTTGAAACTTTATCATTAAACGTTCATGTAAAGTTCCATAACCATTTCAGTTAAAGTTTAGCAAGGATTATAAACAATTTTTAACCATTTTAGGTAAGGTCAATTTATGGTTCGCGTTTATGCGGGTACGTCTTTGATTTCTATGTGGGGGTACACTTTGTGAAAACCGAAAATGGAACATGTAACAAATTAAGAAAGATTTTGAACGTTAATAACTCAGCTGCCCCAAGTCCAATTTCAATAATTTTATCGCCAATCGATCAGAAATATGGCTACGCATCGATAACAATGCTTCCAAATGTTGATTTTCAACTAGAAACTATTGAAAAACTGGAAAATGTCCAGCATTGTCCAAAAGCGTCGAATTAACTAACAAATCCACCAATTACCCACATGCATATGCTGCTTCCCCAGCACAGTCGTCAGAGAGTAGTAAGTAGACGAAACAAGTCGAAGTGGCATTCGCCTTCGATCCTCGGGAGCGAGCGAATAGGGAGGATGGAATTGCGTAAAATTTTGCACACTCATCGCCATACTCAGAACAGAACCACACGCTCCCAACGACCACACCACTGTGTGGTGGTGTTCGGTCGTCGAAATTAGAAGCAGCAGTAGCAGTGCTTTCGGCATGTGGCATTGAAAATTGTTCTCCAGTAACAACGAAAGGCTGCCTGCAAGCAGCGAGCTTCAGAGCCCACATAAGCAACCATCAAAGGAGGAAGAAGCTGCACCGCTATGCTATGGATCGGAATCAGTAGCTCTTCGTGAGTCGCTGCGGGTCGGTCATCTATGTCAAGCGTGTCACCCTCGCTCCAAACGACATACAGCTCGACAGCCTCATCCGTGTTGAACACGCAGCTCAGAATTACTCAATCATCACTACAAAACGGTCCTTTTCAGGGCCACCAAAAACTTGTTAAAGAGTATTATTTGGACATTGGTCAAGGTCATCGGTTCCCACAAGCACCTAGCTATCAAGGCGCAACCTGTCTATAGAAGGTGTGGAATTGTAGGCCTGAATATATTGGTGCAATTAGTTTTTTCCTCGGCTTTCATTCCACACGATTAGTTTCTTTCGTTTAATCAATCACCCTTGTAGTGACGTCGAAAAGATTGTTTCAATCGGCGCTTACATATGAAATTTAATGTAGATTATAGAATTTTTTGTATGTTACCAAAATATATGAATGGTTTGCCACTAAATGTTGAGATAATTTATTGATTATTGAATTATCACACTGTATACCATGAAAAAGCAGCCTGTTTGTGAGTTTTTGCCTGTTTTCAAGTAAGGAGTTATCATAAAAAACAAATCGCCAGCGGGTATTTCCCGGCGACTTTGCAAATAAATAAAATCAAACAAAATCATCATGCAGAACTAGCTAGGATTTGTTTTACTTCATATTTCACAAAATTGCTTTCGAGTGTTAAGACGTCGTCTCCCGCAAAGTTTACATTTTTCCCTCTACCAACACATACATCAGGGCTAGATAGATCTCCACAGGATCTATAGAATCCACGCAATTTCAAAAAACCAAAATGCACAGCATTACGAAAAGAGGTCAGGTTTCGACCAATAGCAGATAGATTTTAATTTTAAACAAGCCAAACGATTGGAAATTTATCTACCAATCTCTAGCGGCAAGTCAGCTTTTAATCATAAGTAATATTAGAGTTAATTTTGAGTAACTCCGAGTAACTCGAGTTGCTCATTATTGAATGCACGGTAACACAGCAACCTGTTTTTGTGCGTGTTTATTTCCCAAATGTCAAATTTGGTCAAACTCTACAACCCACCATCATCCATCGACGGATTATACTGGATCATTATCTTCTAATCCCATAATCTTCGTACCTTTTCTGCTAATCCTTACGAAACAGATTTCACCTGAATTGAACTCTGACAATCAACATTCAATGTGGATCATCAACATGAAAAGGATTGCATTCGTAAAAAATCCAAGTGTTTTAGCGTCTCTGAGAATAGTCAATTCATTTTTCATAACATCTTGAATAGAATAATATCAAATAACCTTCGTTTTATTCTAGGTAATGCTCCTGGTTATAAAAACATTTTTACATAGGTTCGGCTGAAAACCGATGAAAAATGTTGGTAGGCAAATTCTTGAATTGCCTTCTGTATAAATTCGTTCTATGTAGTTTAAATTGCGTAAATTTACAGTTAAAATTGTAGACCCCTAATTTACTAGAAAAATAAACGACCCATCATAATGCATACCTTGCTTGATGTTTCGACAATTATTTCACTGTTCCTGGAATATTCTCCGGAGCTATTTATATAGCTAGCTAATTTTCTATCTTATTGTCCACTCATACCCAACAGCTACCGCTTGACTCTACGATTCCCTAAGATAACCAAACAATCCAAGTTAAAATATCCCATTTAGACTCTTCAAATAATTTCTCAATACTTTAAACGGATGCGAAGGATCTTTGGATTTGATGTACAGCTTGGATAATCTTAAAATCACACATCCTGCTCGTATTTTTTTTTCAATACTTAACATATAAACGAAGACAACAAATCAAGTTGCTTCCACCTTCACTCAAGCGCAGCGCTATTGAATCTATCGCTTGGATTCTGGCAAAGTTGCCAATCTTCTGGATATGATGTCTTCGATATAAGGGTAATGGGCTGTAAATAGACTGAAAAAGATCACTCTGACAGTTGATATTTATTCAAACAGTTTTTATTTTTTATTTGTTGATGAATGTACGACCTCGTTTTCGACTACTTTGATCAATTTTGAGTAATCATGAGTTACTCAAATTTACTCGCTGCATATATATATTAACTCTGAGTACAGCTGGCTTGCCCCTTGACCAATCTGCTAAAATGAACACTTAGTTAATTTTCAATAGGTCACTATTGAAAAATACCAAATGTCCAACTGTTGCAATGGTGATCAAAATTGACCACTTTGTCAAGCAGTTTTGGCGTGACTTTCTATCAGCGATTGCACAAAACTGGACCAAATAATTTATATTTTTTTATGAAACGCACAAATGTTGGCTACTTTTCTCGAGGTTCTAGAAGAAAAAATCTCAAATTTCAAAGTTCGAGTGGTAGTAAACGTCATTTTAAGTGCTCGAATAAAATGGTTAATTATCACCGAATGTCTGAAAACAGCGCATTCCCTAACACAGACTTAAAAATCGAATTCGATGCGGTCCCACTGAACGGTGCTCATTCAATCACCATAAGTGGTGGTGTCCAGTCCAGCAGCAGCAGTAGTAGCAGCAGCAGTAGTAGCAGCAGCAGTAGTAGCAACAATCAATACGAAACTAACGATTTTAAATTGGCTCACCACTTTAGTAGCCTATTGGTCCCAAGCAAACGATTAACGTACCCTATTCTAGTTGAAATTCTATTACTACACTATGTTTGTTTTGATTCGCTATGAAAGTTTGACAGATAACATCAGGGGTGTGTGGATTCATGCAGAACATGCAGGGGTGAGTGAAATAGCTTGGGACTGCTTGGGACCGTTGTTCTGGTACTGAGTGAGCCAAAAATAATAATGATTTTCTTCGGGACCCAGTGGTCTTAGAGTTACCTCTATGGTAGTAGCAGCAGCAGCAGCAGGAGTGCTTTCAACAACTGTGAGGTTTGGACCGTATCCCACCGGAATCACCCAACCCTTTTGGAGAGCAGGCACAACCTACCTATTCAACTGCACTGCGACGAAAGAGGACGAACGAGATGCTTGCTGATTGAAGCGTCGTTGGGTTGTCAGATTAAAGAGGATGAATAGA